TATATAACTGCTGTTTTTAACCCTAATGCTGCAGCCTGATTGTTTCCCAAAACACCCATACCTCTATAATCTATCAGTTTAAATTCCTAGACAAGTCATCAATTACCCTCTCAATTAAATGGCTAATGCAACCACTCCATCCCCAGAGGGGATGAACCCCATCCTTGCATACATATCAGGGTTGTCAAAGAATAGGTCCTAGTTATAAATGAATGGGATTGCAAGTTCATTGCAGTACCTCTCTAGCCAAAGTAATTTATACCAATTCCCCTTTGAATCCTTCTTTCCCCACTCCCTTTCTAGGCAAGATGCTAATTATGACTGGGATCCCCCCCTTTTAGACCTAATACTTCTATGGCTGACCTGTACTTATCCACCCAGCTCCTCTCTCCTGCCCTTCCCAATGTCATTACCTCCAGGACAAAGACAGATAATGGGGCTTGATCCCATTACCTGTCAAATATTATCCAACCTGCTGACTATGTCACAACACACAGCTCCAGGAAGACACTCTCTGTTGACCTTTTCTGTCTCTGTTACAAAATGCACGGTCCATATTATCTTACCTGAGAATCGCCTACTATTAAAATTTTTCTTACCTTGATTAGCAGGGGAATCAGGTGGTACCTTCAACCTCACTAACCACTGAAGTTCACTCGTCTTGGAGAACAGAGAAATCGAAATTTTTACCTTCACATCTTCTTATTAACTCCCCTTTATCTTCCTTCTTCCTGAACTGTGAACCCTTGCCACTTAAAGTGGCTGCCACTATCACTGCTGGTGACCATTGCCTCCTTACCAGCTAAATCCTTCTCACACTCGCTCCCAAACTCATCTATGCGAAGCTTCAGCCTCCTATTTTCCTCCTGAAGAAGTAGAATCTCCTTCTTCAACACTTGAACCTGAGATTCTAAAACACTACAACAAGTCATGGTGCTTGGTAACAGCCCACGCTAACTCCCAAGAGCTTAGGCAGGTAGGGCCGCAGGTGACCACTGACCTCAGCGTACTGAGCTCTAGTTCTTGGACCGGCACTTCAAGTATTAATTAACTTTTATAATACTGATCTTTAAGCTTCTGCTGCGTCAGATTATTTATATAAGTCTTACGGTAATTTAAAGTTGATCATGTGAGAAAATATGAGTTACTCATAACAATGTGTGATATGTTTTTTAATCTGTTATGGTGCAATCATTACTATATCCATCTTACGAACGTTCAGCAAGAGCAGCGTACACGTCGGTTTATTTCCAGCACGTTTACTGCCCCAGACTGTCAAAGACTGCAAACCTCACTCAAGGAAAAAGATCTGGGGGGGAGTATAACATCGAGCATATCTTCCTGAGGCGCACATCAATCAGATAACTGCTGCAGCATACGGGCGCCTGGCAAACCTACGGATAGCGTTCCGATACCTCAGTAAGGATTCGTTCAAGACTCTGCATACCATTTACGTCAGGCCCATACTGGAGTATGCAGCACCAGTTTGGAATCCACACCTAGTCAAGCACGTCAAGAAATTAGAGAAAGTGCAAAGGTTTGCAACAAGACTAGTCCCAGAGCTACGGGGATTGTCCTACGAAGAAAGGTTGAGGGAAATCGGCCTGACGACACTAGAGGACAGGAGGGTCAGGGGAGACATAAAAACGACATATAAAATACTGCGCAGAATAGACAAGGTAGACAAAGACGGGATGTTCCAGAGATGGGACACAGACACAAGAGGTCACAATTGGAAGTTGAAGACTCAGATGAATCAAAGGGATGTTAGGAAGTATTTCTTCAGTCATAGAGTAGTCAGGCCGTGGAATAGCCTAGAAAGTGATGTAGTGGAGGCGGGAACCATACATAGTTATAAGGCGAGGTATGATAAAGCTCATGGGGCAGGGACAGAGAGGACCTAGTAGCAATCAGCGAAGAGGCGGGGCCAGGAGCTATGACTCGACCCCTGCAACCGCAAATAGGTGAGTACCATACACGTCAGGAATTATCTTATTCCTCTGTACTCACAGTTCTTTAATACTGCATCTGTTTCGTTGCGAATAGGTAACAGAACGTCAGTACACGAAGATTATTTTTTTAGAAGGGGGGAAGTTGTTTAAAGACCCTAGTCAACTTGTTTTACGTACAAATTAAGATAAGATTTGGTCTGATTTTTAACAGGGAAGATTAGCCACCCAGTATAACCCATAACAGTCAATACGTCATTGAGGACTGTTTATGAGGTGAGGGCGTTGCCAACCAGGCCACGGGATTTGTTATTTATTTGTCGTCAGCCTTTCTGGATCACTTGGGTTTCTTAACATTTCTACTTCAGCAAATTCTTCAAGAAGCTTAGACATTGACTGCCACTTAAGTTACAACAGAGAACAATATGTTACAGACGGGTGGCAGTGACCTGAATACGATAACTAAAAACAATGTAATCTATGTTAATATATATATTAAAATAGTTATAACTATAACCATAATTTGTATAGGAGTGGACAGGTAGGCCAGCGGAAGGCCTCGGACAGATGACCAAAAGCTCCAACGGCAGTTCATCATCTGACTAAGACTCACGCCAGGATACACTTGTCCTGTTTCCTGGCGAATCTTAATTAACCTAACCTATGTTAACTATGGCAGAGTGACCTATGACAGCTTGACCTTAAACAGTGTTAACAATGTATGTGTGACCATCCTCTCTCCACTTCCTTACAACACCATCACTTGCCACAGGTGGCAAGTGAATTATTCGAATAATGATATACACAGGTGTCCTGCATCGCTGGTAACCCAACTTACGCCGAAATTAATGTGCAACGACATAGGGACACATGTATACATTGGAAAAACATAGTACCTGGTAGGTCTTCGACCTTTAGTGCTGCAATAAATGCACATTTGAGGGATGAATACAAAAAGCAGGATGAGGAATGGGAGGAGAAAGAAAAGGAAGAGAGAGAGAGAGAGAGTTGAACACAAGAGGATCAGGCCTTCACCAGTTCTCGTTCAGAATAACACACACACAGGTTTACCGTTTTATCAAAATGCAATAAATACGAGTTTCTGGCTCATTTTTCTCGTTCTCAAGCTAAGAATCACAATTTAAAAAACTTCATTGACCAAACATATGCTTTATGTTGACGTGTCAAAGACGTAAATTATATTCAGCATATATTTAATGCTTATATTACGTCGTGTATTTCCACAAATATTAAGAAAAATGTAGTTAATTGGGGAAATTTATACAGAGATTTCATAGGCATGGTCACTTTAGACCTGCATTTGATACAGTGAACAATAGATATTAGTACCTGTCCTATAGACTTTGGTTAAGTGGTACTGGGAATTACCTTTCCCACAGCCCAGTCTCAAACCAGGCCTCCTAGGTTAAAAAGGGAGTATCACAAGATTAACTATTAACCCTTAAACTGTCCATACAGATCTACGTTCACATGCGTAGCGCTCCAAAAGCAGATCAAAGTTTTTTTTACACATTTTCAAATATAAAAAAAAAAAGCAGATCAAAGTTTTTTTTACACGTTTTCAAATATAAAAAAAAGCAGATCAAAGTTTTTTTTACACGTTTTCAAAAAAAAAAAAAAGCAGATCAAAGTTTTTTTTACACATTTTCAAATATAAAAAAAAAGCAGATCAAAGTTTTTTTTACACGTTTTCAAATATAAAAAAAAAGCAGATCAAAGTTTTTTTTTACACGTTTTCAAATGTAAAAAAAAAAGATCTACTTTTTTTACATACTTTCAAATGGTAAGACACATATGCAACAGTTAGACAACTTTATTCCGAAACGTTTCGCCTACACAGTAGGCTTCTTCAGTCGAATACAGAAAGTAGGCAGGAACAGTAGAGATGTGAAGACGATGTAATCAGTCCATCACCCTTGAAGTCGTAGAATTTGAGGTTGTCAGTCCCTCAGCCTGGAGCAGTTCAGTTCCATAGTCAGGAACTATCTGAAGATCAAGCGACAGTGCAGAGACTTAAATACTGTCGGAAGGAGAGGTGCAGAGTAGTAGTAGTAATAGTGAAAATGGAGCCACTGAGAGGTTATGTCCCTCTCAGATCCAACCCTTTTCACTTGAAAAGCTTGTCCAAGGTGTTTTCTGTACCAAGATGCCATGTGTTGCAGTGTCTGACAGGATGAACATCAAAATGGTATACAATACCGACAGGTTGTTAGGTAAGACACATATGCAACAGTTAGACAACTTGTTCCTGCCTACTTTCTGTATTCGACTGAAGAAGCCTACTGTGTAGGCGAAACGTTTCGGAATAAAGTTGTCTAACTGTTGCATATGTGTCTTACCTAACAACCTGTCGGTATTGTATACCATTTTGATGTTCATACTTTCAAATGTTGAAAAAACGTAGATCTGTTTTTCTTTTAACTGTGAAGAATTCACATATATTATACATAGTTAAGTATTTGTTAAACACATGTATGGTGAGTAATGAATTCTCTAAAATCTTTCTTCGTTACTCAGGAAATATTCTATATGTTAATGTCATTATTTTTCCTTATGCTCTCCAGTAGGAAATTCGGAATAGCCACCTCATAAAAAGTAGAAATATTAGTTGTTAAATCAGACTGTTCTTATAATTTTCAGTGCTATTCACATGATTTTATCTGGGCAATTAAATTTACTTCGTAGATTTTGCCGCAAAGCTATTATTTCTTATTTCGGAATTCTACTTATTACATGAAGAGAGAAGCACAAATGACAGAAAAAATCTCAAAGGAGCTTATTTTGCAACATACCTTTGTTTACAAACTTGTCCACCTCAACAGTCTTTTTCAGCTAATGAATATGCATTTTTGTGTATACACGTATTATCACTTGTCGGCAAGTCTATGACAATTAATGTGTGATTAGCATTCATCCTGTTACTAAGGCCATACACCTGCATCACACGTGGTTGCAGGCACATGGCGTGCTTACAAAAGCTTGCAGTTACAGGGGATATAACACCAGAGCTCTCCGGTCGCTGTGCTGTCCAGACGCGGTTGAGAGTTTTAAGACTGAATACCTCCAAGCCGTAGTTACTCGCTGGTTCCTCCTCGACAGTGAACACTATCAGCAATCTCAGCTATAGTTGGTGTTACAGTTGTCTGCATTAAGCAGCAGCAGTAGTAGCAGCAGCAGGAACAAGCACTGCATCACCCCAACCGTTCCTGATCCACCTCGCCATCATGAAAGCTCTCGTTGCAGCCTCTTTCCTCTTTTGTCTCCTGCTGGTTGGCCAGGTAAACACTCACATGTTTACTGATATATCCGTTTAACTTTTCAACGTATTTTTCTTTTTGTTCATTTTCCAGAAAAAGAGGTTTATAAGAGACCATAGTGATTTTTTTTTAACGCGTCGGCCGTTTCTCACCGAGGCAGGGTGACACAAAAAGAAAAACCCGAGAAAAAAGGAAAATACTTTGATCATCATTCAACACTTTCACCATAACTCATACATAATCACTGTCTTTGCAGCGAAATATCCCCCCCAAATTTCTAACAAGCAGATGAGGCAGGCCACTCACTAAGCTTAAAGTAATTTTTTGTTAACTTAATTAAACAGTGGAATTTGAGTTAATACGTTTGTTATAAATAAACCTAAAAACGGTACGTAGGCTAAGACCGCAATTAGAATGATCACTAATGTGAAAAGTAACTTTATCCCGATAAAAAAGCTGAAAACACTCAGTGTATGTATTCTAAGATACATACATTCCTTTCCTTATGTATAACTTGTAAAATATATCTCTGTTTTTAAATGGGATGTAAAGTCTAGCTTTGGTAAGCCAGTCGATGCTCAATAGATAAGATTTATGATTTGAAAAAGACTCCTGTCAGGAGACATTGTTTACTAAAAAATAATTCATCACGCCCATCATCTATTTACGTGTTCTAATTGAACTAATTTTGAAAAATTAGATTTACTAAAAGTATTTTTTTTTTAAAATTTATAACATAAATCTGTACTTATTAGCCTAGCATAAAGTGTTTCTTAATTTTATCATTTGTTTTTCAACGTTATCAAATTTAATCTCATTTTATATACAAACGTCATTAATATAACGTTTGCATTACTCAGGAAAGTGTCGTTGGACAAAGGGATAAATCAGAGAATCAAGAGGAAAGAGGTAATGTAAAAGCCAAGAGGATCACTGGCAATTTTGACGGTGAATTCAAAATTTCTGTCAGAAACCGGAGCGTTGATGGTGGAACAAGATTCTCTAAGAAGAACGGCATTGTTAAACAAGTAAAACACAACAGGAAGAGCCATGTCAAAAGTGGAAAGAAACGCGATAGACAACATGGTTATAAAATCAGGAGAGCGTTAAAACGACATACAGCCAACAACAAACGTAGCCATGACAAGTACCTGGATGGGCGAAGTCGTGTCAAGAACTTGCATGGGCGTAGCCGTGTCAAGAACTTGGATGGGCGCAGTCGTGACAAGAACTTGCATGGGCATAGACGTGTCAAGAACTTGGATAGGCGTAGCCGTGTCAAGAACTTGGATAGGGTTAGCCGTGTCAAGAAATTGGATAGGCATAGCCGTGTCAAGAGCCTGGATGGGCGTAGCCGTGTCAAGAACTTGGATGGTCATGGGCGTATCAGGAAAGGAAAGGAAAGAAATGAGAAGACTAGCAAAACACATGGAATTCTCAAGAAAAAAGGAATGAGGCGTCGTGATAGCCAAGTCCAGAAGAAAGAAAAAGTGAACGGAGTCAAGAAGAAGTCGACCACAAGAAAGAAAAGAATATCTGCTGTAGGGAGAAGACAGAAGTCGGCTGCAGGAGGAAAACACAAGTCGGTCACAGGAAAAAAACACATATCGGCTGGAAGAAGAAAGCATAAGTCGGCTGTAAGGAGGAAACACAAGTCGACTGCAAGAAAGAAACACAAATCGGCTGTAGGGAACAAACACAAGTCAATGAGGGAAAAAAACAAAAGTTAAATAAATGGAAAAAACATAATTCACTTAAAGATCAGAGGTTAAAATTAATTAAAAAGAAGAAACAAAAATCATCTACAAAGAAGAAGAAATCAGATGAAGGGAAGATCCAGGTGGAAAAAATAAAGATGGGAAAACATAAGAAACAAAGACACTGGAAAAAGGCTGACCAAAAAGAATTAAAGAAGAACCATATTACACAGAGGAATGAAATTCAACAGTCCATAAAATCGAAAAACAGAAAAACCCACGAAACAAGCAAAAAAAATACGAAGACCGCATATAAAGCTAAGGAAATCAAACATAAAAAAAGTAGGAAACATAACAAAAAACAAAAGAACAATAAAAAGAAAAAGAAAAATAAGAGAAAGTTAAAAAAAGCAAATAAGGAAAAGAAGAGGCCACATAATAGCGGAGAGAATCATCATCGTCCTCCACACGGTAGCGGGGAGAATCATCATCGTCCTCCACACGGTAGTGGGGTGAATAATCATCGTCCTCCACACGGTAGCGGGGAGAATCATCATCGTCCTCCACACGGTAGCGGGGAGAATCATCATCGTCCTCCACACGGTAGCGGGGAGAATCATCATCGTCCTCCACACAGTAGCGGGGAGAATCATCATCGTCCTCCACACAGTAGCGGGGAGAGAACATGCCCAAAACACGGGAAAAAATGCCACACACAGTAGCGGGGAAATCATGCACTTCTGAGAGAATTTCATGACCAAGATTCATGTCCCCCAAGTAGCAAGGGGAAAAGACCTGCACACCCAAGTGTACTCGGGAAGTGTTCTGGAAAGTGAGAGAGCAAATTTTTGGCAAGTGATTCTTTTCAGGTGGTAATGTTACCGTCGAGTGGAGTCACTTTGCTGTTGGGTGGTTACCTTCTGGGTGGTAGTTACCTTCTGCAGGTGGTAGTTCCCTTCTGCTGTTGGTGGTTCCCTTCTGCTGGTGGTAGTTCCCTTCTGCAGGTGGTAGTTCCCTTCTGCAGGTGGTAGTTCCCTTCTGCAGGTGGTAGTTCCCTTCTGCAGGTGGTAGTTTCCTTCTGCTGGTGGTAGTTCCCTTCTGCTGGTGGTAGTTCCCTTCTGCAGGTGGTAGTTCCCTTCTGCTGGTGATAGTTCCCTTCTACTGGTGGTAGTTCCCTTATGCTGGTGGTAGTTCCCTTCTACTGGTGGTAGTTCCCTTCTGCTGGTGGTAGCTCCCTTCTACTGGTGGTAGTTCCTTTCTGCTGGTGGTAGTTCCCTTCTGCTGGTGGTAGCTCCCTTTTACTGGTGGTAGTTCCTTTCTGCTGGTGGTAATTTCCTTCTGGTTTGTGGCCGTAGTTCCATCTGGTGGTTTTTTCTGTTTGTGGCCGTAGTTCCTTCTGGTGGTTTGTGGTGACAGTTTCTTCCAGTGGTGTGTAGTAGCAGTTTCTTCTTCCTATAGCACTTGTGTAGTCTTAAAATATTCATTAGTATTTTCAAGAAATTTCAAATGAGATTTTAAAGTATATACTTTCGAAGTTGACATATGAACTCGCATGGTATATATTCATTTCCTGTTCATTTTACTCTTCGCTTCTCTGTTTACTTCCATATTCTTTCATTTTTCAATACTTATTTTTATCTCTTCTCAACTGTGATCCGTTTCCCAAATCTGCATAATCTTGCAAATGCGTTTACTAATCTCTGCAACCCTATTTAAGTTTTCCTTGAGTCCATTTGTGCCCTCTCCACCATTGCCATTCTGTTCAACACTTTAGCATCATCTGGAAATAAAAACATAGGGTTCAGTCCTATTTGGCAGGTCACTGACTGATCTTGAGAGATCCCACTAGTAACCCTCACCCATCTTGGCACCTCTTCCTACATGCCACTCACTGTTTTTTTTTTTTTTTAAGTGTTTTTTGCTAACCATTAGCACTCTGGCTTTTACAGTTGTCTTCTGATGTAGCTAGTGGATCAGGTTTTGGTCAAGTCTTATGTTCCATTTAACAGTTTCTTTTAGTTCAGAGGAGTTAAATTCAACCTATCCTATCTCTCCACTGATTTTTCTCCGTAACGTTTTCAAAAACTGTATTATTGGGTAGCATAGATACTGCTCCTTCCCTGTTGTGTGGATGTTTAACTGTGTCCTAATCTCTCTGCTTCGTTATTTTCTGATATAATTTTTTGCACATCTATTCAAAATTCACACATTTCATGTATGCCTCTTCTTTAGTTTTATCAATTGGATCTTTACACACAGTTTCCGTCTAATTAGGAATCGGTATTGCGGCTTTAACATTTTCTGCTCTGTCATTCAGAAAATAGGTCCGACAATTATTTTTATATTTTTAGCACTCGTTTTGTCCTTGCGACCCTGCAGTAACTAAGATGCTCTCAATTCAGTGTTTAAAATATTTTCTGTGAATGTCTGTTACGATTACTACTTGGCACTTTGTGTCTAGCATTTCCGTCAATTCCTTGGCTATTTTAACATCTAGTTCCAATATTTAGTCTATTCATCTTATATAATGATTCGGAACATCATAATCTCCTTCATTTTAGTGTTCGGTCTATCTCTTCTTGTTTATTTCTCCAGCTTAGTACTGCACGATTACTTGCATCGTTTGTTTTTCAATAGTCACTTTCATCAATGCTTAAATTTTATACGATAAAAATCAAACCAAGAAGCATTCTCGCCCAGTCTTCCATTCTTGTAATTTTCACTCCATCTTGACTCACAACGTTGATGCGCTTACATTTATGGAGGAGATTTTGTGAATAGTGAAGGTGCTTTGTTGATGTTTAATACAGACGTTTTTGTTAACAGTTTGCTCAGCTAAACCAAAAAAGAAGTGCACTAAACACAAGGGTGTGTGTAAGACAAAGTGCGACGTGAAGGAGCGACAGATCCCCAAGGGTTGCATGAAGAAAACTTGTGTCTGCTGTGCCAAGGCTTGCAAGCCCACGATGCACTGTACTGCTGGTGGTGGTTATTGTGTAGATAAGAAGAAGTCTTGTAAGGGATGGGTCGACAAGGATGACTGCAAGGGAGCCAAGTGCTTCTGTTGTTATCCAGGTAAGACTTCATTACTGTGTCTTTACATTATTACGGTGTGTGAAGGAGTGAACTTAGAACAACGTGATGTCTTCAGAGTTCAAGGTGTAGAGAAAACTTCATGTAAGGAATAGGCTCATAGGGACGTTTACATTGAAACGAAATATCTCAGCGAGAATTCCCAGACTTTCACGAAAACCAGTCATTCTCTCAACTAAATCTGTGTGCTAAATGCCATTAAGTATTGTGGTACCATGTAAACGTTGATAGATTAGTCACCGGTGCAACATGTGGGAGTCTTTATTCTGCAGACGCTTCGCCAACCGGTGGCATTATCAATACAATAAAAAAGAAAAGGTAGAAGATGAGGTTATCAGTCCTTCACTCTGGTCATTTTTTCCAAGCTCAGCTCATTTATTCTTCAGTTTTTTCCTGGTCGTTCACTGATATTATCCTTATGGATAAAATCAGAGAAGGATCGTATAGCAATTTTAATTCAGACTTAAATTTTGATGCTGAGGTATTTTAAAATTGTCGCTACGCCTCTCTTTATATCCGTGTACACTGTTACTGTCTGCTGTCTTGCCTCGGCAATTATTGATTCCATAAATTTTCCCACTATGGAGGTAAGGCTTATTGGTCTATAGTTCGAAGCCAAGGACCTGTCACCTGCCTTGTAAATAGGTAATACTTCCTAACATCCCCTTGACTCATCTGAGTCTTCCTCTTCCAGTTGTAACCACTTCTGTGTCCCATCTCTGGAGCATCCTGTCTCTGTCCACCTTATCTATTCCTCGCAGTATTTTATAAGTCGTTATCATGTCTCCCCTAACCCTCCTGTCCTCCAGTGTTGTGTGTGTGTGTGTGTGTGTGTGTGTGTGTGTGTGTACTCATATATATGTGGTTGCAGGGGTCGAGTCATATCTCCTGGCCGTGTTTGTGTGTATGTGGATATTTGTATCCCCTGAACATACTGCATCATGACAAAGAACCCTGCAAAAAAATCCTCCCCAGAGAAAATATCTCATGGTTCCCGTCCATCCTCTTGTTATCAATAACAGAATAACACAAGTTGTTGTTGTTATTGAATAGAGGGAAAATTTTGCACTGCAAAAGGTGGGAATTTCCAGTGGTAGATTTTTCATTGCTCTTCTTCCTATAAATTATTTAGCTATGATAAAAATGTTATTTTTTCGTCTTACTGAAATGGTCATTTAACACATTCTTGATATTTTAGAGAAAACGACTTTAAGGAGGACTACCACAACGACGACTAACCCACAACGACGAGTACCACAACGAGGAATACCACAACGGCAAATACCACAACGGCGAATACCACAACGGCGAATACCACAACGACGAATACCACAACGACGACTACCACAACTACTAGTACCGCAAATACGACTACCACAACTACAACTATCACAGTTACGACTACTACAACTACGAGTAAGACAACTACTACCAGTACCTTAACTACAACAACGAGTATCACAACAACAATTACTACAACCATTAGTTCCACACCACAACGACAAGTAGCTCAACCACAACAAGTAACGCAACCACAACTACGATTACTTCATCGATTACAACAAACTACATCATCGACCACAACAAGCACTACATCAACGATAACGAATATTACTTCCACGAACACAACAATTACTTCAACTACAAATACTACGTCAACGACAACAACTACCTCAACTATAACTACTACTTCAACAAGCACAACAACTTCTACAACGACCACAGCAACTACTACATCAACGACAACAGCAACTACTACATCAACAACCACAACAACTACTACATCAATAACCACAACAACTACATCAACAACCACAACAACTGCAACGACCACAACAACTACTATATCAACAACCAAACAACTACTACATCAACGACCACAACAACTACTATATCAACAACCAACAACTTACATCAACGACCACAACAACTACTACATC